TCAATGATTAACGCAGTCTATAATGCAGATGCATTAGTAGAGAATGCAGCGAATTACACAAATTCGTTTCCACCTTTTTAAAATCAATAAAATTTAATAAATCACCTCACCTTACTAACCGCTTTGAGTAATGCCGCACGTCATATATGCAATTTCTCAATTTTTTCAAAAGGAACTTATTGAGTTACGATCAGACTGTTGATCGTTATGCACGCCTTAGTCCGTTCCGTCAAGCGTACATAAATTATTTATAAAAAATTCCCAAGCCTCATTTGTCTATAATAAATTTAATTTTTTATTGTGCATTAATTCTACACATCAACTTAAATTTACTTTGCAATAACTTTTCTCTTCTATTCGTATGTTAACTTCATTCCTGTACTGCAGTAACTATGAGAGTCCTTATAGATCAACATACAGTATTCCTACTAGTTTGGGCATACGACCATATCAACAAAATAATAATTCAAGCAACCATAATAACAATGGTGGCAGCGGTTATGGCAGCAATATACAAACACCTGATTCACCACGTAGCACGCGTAGCGCACCATGGCCGAGGTCACAGCAACGATCGCTCTTTGGCAATAATCCATCGAGTCCACGCTCAGTGCGTTCGGCAAGCACAACGGGTGGTGGCCTACATCATCACCATCAACACCAGCATCATTACCAACAGCAGCATCACCATCAGCAACATCAGCAACATCAACGGCATCAAGCGAACGGTGCTGCTCACCAGCGTGATCACGTACCTTCGCAACGATATCGATCAAGTTCGGTTGAAAGTCATTCATCAAATGATTCGCGCTCAACACGAAGGTAAGTGGTTTTTTTCATGTCAAGTTATAAATATAATTGCATATTGCTGCGAAAGATTACAGATCTCCAGCACAGCAGTGGTTAGGCTGCTTTTCATAGGGTTTCTGGCATAAATTGTGAACGTAGTTTTATAATTTTTTTTTTTTTAGTGTATATTTTTGTGTTTAGTGTATAAAATGCAATACTATAATTTGCTCATCACTGTAAAATGTGATTTTGATATTTACTAATTTACCACAATATTGATTTTGAATTAGTTTTTTATTGCTTTAATATTTTATGCAATTATTAATCAATTTTTTCTGTTTACCTATATTCATTTTTTGCATTTATAGGCACAAGCATCGACATCGACGTACTTCCGATAATGAGAGTGAATTATCGCGTAGTTCTGGTCGTTCAGGTCGTTCGTATCATCGGAAACATCGGCGTTCGCGTCATCGTCGAGATTCTGGTGGTTCAGATCATGAGAGCACACGTGGACGTAGCTATTCTGGTCATCGCGCTTCTTCAGCGCGTAGTGGTTCAGCTGAATTGATTGATTCGGCATTGCAGTGGCGCGAAGTGCAACGACGTCAAGCAGAAGCTAGTCTAGGTCAAAGTTCCGTCCATCAGGCATCGGTGTCGAAGAGCAGCATGTTGGCTCGCAGCTTACACAGTAACGATAGTCATTCAGATACACACTCGCATCATAAGTCAAGGCGGCACAGAAAGAATAAGTAAGTTTATGAATATTCATTGCACTTAAGGAGAAAGAACTAAAAATTACAATATTAGTGCCTTATGGTTTTTATTATAAAATTTTAATTTGAAAAATAATAACTCATTCATAATTCCAAAAAAAATTCAATAAATCGTTTTTTCTATATCATATCTAACAACAGATCTCCATCCGATTCTCGCAATCGTATTTGGTCAAGTGAACTCGCTAAGCATTTACAATTTGATCTAGTCGATACAACTGGCATGACCGAAGATCAGCTTCGCGAAATTCCCTATACAGTAGTGGAAACGAATTCTAAGCGTTCTAATTCAAACCTTAAGATACATAAAAGCAACAGCAAGAATAGTGTTGGCGGTAAGAGTACAGGTTCTGGCAACACAATTACAAATGGTAGTGGCTCTGGGAACGGACAGGGTAAAAATCGTGTCGATCGTATACGCGGGTAAGTAACAACTAAATCAGTTGAAACAATTTGCTTAATTATGTTTTGTTCTATGATGTAGTTTATATTTTCAAAGCTCCCATCCGACTGATAACACTGGTGGTAAAAATGGTTCCATACGTTCGGCAAGCACAATTTCTTCACGCGAATGTGAACGTAACAATGGTTTAGTAAGGTAAAGTAAAACATTTTATTCTGCTATTCTGTTAGTGACTGCTAATTTGTTTTTTTCAAATAAAATAGAATGATGTCTAGTATGAGTATGGGAGATTTTATATCCCCCACTGGTTCTAATCTTAGTCCACTTGAAAATTCAGCTTTACGTGTTTCGCATGAGCATACCGATTCTGGTTTAGGTGCTGATCAAGATTATGCTTATTCTTCTGAAAGGTAAAACGTAATTAACTATTGGGTTGGAGGGTCAGTACTTTTGTTTTTACTTAATTTATTTTTTCATGATTTTAGATCTAGTGATAGCACACGTTACGGTACGAATAAATCATCTGGTGCTTCTAGTGGTAGTCATCGTAAATCGGCTGGTGCCGGTAGTGGTTCCAATTACAATAATTTAATGCAACAAACTGTGAGTAATCAACAGCAAACACAGCGTCAAAATTCTTTTTATGCACAGCGTCAACAAGCGCAAAAACAAAATTTCAAATTCTCCCAAACTAACCAAAACTCATCAAAATCAAAATCACTGGCGCCCATTCACAATACCCATTCCTCTACTAATTCAGCTAACAATAACAATTCGAACACTACTAATCCGGGTAGTTTTAATGAGGCGAACACTTCAAAGCCGAGCACTAATCGTCTGCTTAACTACACCACATTTGAGAACAACCAATACAAGTTTAGTCTTAACAATGTGTTTAGTAAGAGCGGTGCAGCTAAGAGTGCTGGCAGTATTGGCAGCATTGGTAGTGGTGGTGTAAGTGGTTATGGTTTTACTAACAATCAGATGGATAGTTTTCTTGAATGGCCAAATTCACCAGCTGCACCGTATTACTATAATGGTCCACCTTCGACAAATGTTAATATGAAGAAACGTGACGCCAAATCCGATATTGGTGTACCGATACGTCGACTTTCCGGTCAAGCCATAACAAAGACTCAATTATTAAGTGGCCAATTGCCGAATGCCAGTTGCTATCCGATGCCAACAGCAGCTTATTCGGTGGTCGGTTTAGCCTCGCACTTACATCCAGCCAAATCAGATTTGTTTCTTTCGTATATGCATTCTTCGTCTGCCGGGGAATATGAACGTCCATATATTTACAATTATAAAATGCCAGATATGCCGGAATTTATGCGTCCCGCCAATACAACAACGCCACAACACCAAAAACAGCAGCAACAGCAGCAGCAGCAACAGAATTTGCCACAACAAACTAACACGGCTTATCACATTTCAGGCGCACAAACTGCTGATCCGCCACCAGTTTATAAGCCTTCCAATAGTGGTAGCATCAACAATGGTGGCGGAGTTGGTGTTGGTGTTGGCAGTAGCATGTTGTATGGCGGTGCTGCGCCCGCTACTGATGTCATGTATTACCAATTTGACAACGGCAAGCCGCCAATTGTTCAACAGCCGAAATCTCTACTGAACAAGACCACAAATGATCCCTCGTCACAAATGCAAAAAGCAACGACATCAGCCAATGTTGTCGGTCCATTAGTCTACTTGCAGCACGGCCAGAATGTTGCGCCAGCAAATGCCACTTCAACACAGCAAACTGTGAGTAGTGATTTACTTTGTTTATCGCATGGCAAACGCATGTTGCTGCGTAAACTCTGTGTGGCATGTCAATGTTGTATTACTCGTTCACGTTGTTGTTGTTGTTGTCTTTTAACTTTGTTTTTGTTGTGGTTTCGATTTTATCCGTTTTCTTTGGCAAATATTTATTCTTTTTATTTTGCGTGTTTTTATATATAAATCTTTGTCTCTTGATTTACTGATTTTCTTCCTTCTTTACTTTTGTTGTCATTGTTTTTAATCATTTTTTTTTGTTTCTGTTTTTGTTTTTTGTTTTTTGGTTTTGTTTTGTGTTTGTGTTTGTATTTGTTTTGTTGCATGTAAAGCTCGTAAATTATTTTTGTGATTAAATCGTTATGTACTCGTCTGTGGCAAATATTTTCCGGGAAATTAAAATTTTGAAGGAGTGAAGTGAATAGTAAATTGAAATCATGGAATGTGTGAAATAAATTATTGTCGTGATTGAGAAAAAATTAGTAAGATAGTGCCTTGAAGAATGGCTTGATAATATCAAAAATTTATAAAAACATATTTGAAAAAAAAAAACAAAACATATTTTATTTGATTATAGTTTATGTGAAGGAAAAAAGATACATTCTATGAATATTCTACAATATATTTTTTAATAAAAAATAAATTTATATATACAGACTAAATACTCTAAAACAAATTCTAGAAGATATATCTTAAATTTTGATCATGGTTTCAAGTGAAGCTATAATGAAATGTTTCGATCTTAACCGTACTTTACATTTTTAAAGTAAGTAGCAGTTATTTTTTTCCCCTGCAACGTCCATGCATACCTTAAGTTTGATTTAGATATGTCTACCAAAAACCTAGTGATTGTCTAGGCTAATTAGTTCGTAGGTTTCTATAACAGAGTGTTTCGACCTTGTCCGTGCTTCACATTTTCAAAGGAAGTGCTCAATTTTTCATTTTCCATCTTTTTCTTGCAGCTCATGTATATTTAAATTTTGATAAAAACAGTTCCACCAAAAATCTGGTTCTTTCCTAAGGTAATAAGTTCCTATATTTCTGTAATGAAACGTTCCGATCTAGTCCGCGCTTCAGATTTTCAAAAAAAGTGCTCAGTTGCTTCTCTTTCGTCTTCTTTCTTTCAGTATCTTTCAGTTAGGTTTTTTGTTGTAACCTATTGAAATCTAAAAAAAGTCCATAAGAGGATAACAAAACTTGTACAAAATATAGGTGAGGATAATTGGGCACAGTAAGGCAGAAATGGGTAGAAACAGAAATGGGTGAAAATATTTGAAGCTATCCTGTATTCAGATTTAGATGAAGATATAATCTCATGTTTATACAATAATAATTCTGCATTATGCGTTTTTGTTGTAAAAGGAAAGGAAATTCTATTTAACCTTGACTATAAGCTTATATCCAGTTAGTTCCTAATAATTTTTGCAGAACTATTAGTGGCTGGTCTACATTAAACTAATATAACAAAACGATCTGTTTTATTCAAGTTGTATCAGGCGGTGATGTACTTTGAAAATAAAGTATTTGTATATTAAAATCAAATCTTAACGTAATTTGCTAATTTTTTAATATTAAACAATTTTTTTATGAAATTTTATTTTTTAATATTAATTTATTAACATTATGTTTTTTCTTATTGCAAATTAATTTCAATAATTTTTTTAAAAAGATTTTAATAAGAAAAATCTTATATTTTTAAGATACTAATTTGGTTATACATTATGTTCAGAGTTTATATTTCTATTTATCTTTAATCATATTTGAATTCATATACAAATTTATTCTAAAATATGCAATTTATTAATAGAAAAGCACCAAATATCTGGAATAATTTTGTTCTGAAATTCCAAACATAAATTCAAGCTTTTGTAATCAAAGTTCAATAAACTTCCATTTATTGTTTACTAATTGTGTTAATCGAATATTTTAGTATATTTTGGTATCTACTCCTGGAAGGAGATTAACCAAAGCATAGAGTAAAATCCAATAATAATTTCAAATACCATATAGTAGCAATGTATTGCGCCCAAAAGTGGGCTTAAAATATCAAATATCTTCTTTGACTTGTGTTTCGATTACAAGTCAGTGAAACCAAATCACAAACATATCAACAACATAAATTTATTGACTTCCGCCCTATCCAAAGCTGTAAGAAATGGCACAAATCGCATTTATAGATCTGCCCATATTTCTGGATATTCGTTTTTTTTTTTCGTTTGACTTTTTCTTATCATAAAATTTGATGTGTTTGTTTGATTTTGTATTGACTTGCCTTGATGTGCCTTTGAACTTTGCTGCTCTTGCTCGATTTGTGCGAATATTTAACTTCCAAAAGAACATTTCGCACAATTTATTTTTATTGAAAAATTATGCCACAGATTTGTATATTCTTCTAAGCTAATATTATTTTATTTGAATTTCGCATTGAGCGCCTGAAAAAGGACACGCAGACACCAAGGAGCGCATAAACAATAGCAAGGATACGAAAATTGTTTTAAGACAAGAATGACTTGGCGATTAATGCAAAACAAATTTGTTTCAGCAATTTTGGATTAATTTTTATTCGAATGTTTGTTGGGTTGCTCGACAATAATTAAGCTGTGCAAGCAATTTAACAAATTTGAAAAGTTTTCCAATAAGAAATGAGAGATTTGCGCAAAAATATTCTAAGCTTTGGATATACCGACATAGAGAGGTAGTGCGATAGACAATAGTTTAATCAACAATACTGGTAGTTACTGATAGTTACGAGTGCCGAAATTATGCTATAGAAGTTAATTGCTTTTCTTCACTTACTATTTCTTATTAGATTGAAAGAATTGAAAGAACCTTTTTCATGCTGACTACATTTTGGGGATGTCCTTTTTAAGTTGTTTCAAACAATTCTTCTTCAAAATCCAAAATCTATAGTAGATTCTCTCTTTGCTTACTTTCTTACAAATTTTAACATTTATTAAAGAAATAAGTGTACTTACATATCATCCCTTGAGTACTGAGAAATGTTAAGTATCTGAGAGACCCACTAAGCAGTGATCTAAAAAGGCAAAAAGCTTTAATTTATGATTTTATCGAATTTAAAATGTTTGTAAAAACGAAATGGTTTTATTATAAGTACAATGTATTCAAAATTATATCAGCAGATAAAGAGAATGTACTTTTTGAAATATTGATAACTGGTAGTGCCTTTACTATTGATAATGTGTGCAAGTAGACAACAAATAGACATCCATTTCAAAATGTATGCAATTATAGAATAGAAAATTAAATAGAAATAAATACTGAACTGGTTTTTAAGTAGCGAAGTTTTCATTCATATTAAAACCTATTGATTGCATATAAAAAGACTCAGAATTGTGGACTCAGAAGGATTTTTAATATCGTCGTCATTATAAAATATTGCAAACATTGAGAGTCTATTACATCAAACATCATTTAATGATTTTTTAAACAAACTAATTTAACTTTCAAAAGATTTTTAATGAAACTTTTTTGGTAAGCAAATCAAGAAACCAAAGTCCTTTCCGGCATACTCATGAATACGAATAATTGACTTGTTTGCGCGCTCGAATATTTTTTGCAAAAGAGTGAGAGAGCAGAATACTTGAAAATGAAATTCGTAAAGGAGTAAAAAAGAAGTGGCACTTTGAACTCGACAAAGTATAAAGGATAAAGGATGCCACCTACAGTAGCAGTAGCTTATGTTATGTGCCGCTTTGTAGGGATCCAAATATTTTTCAATCAATAGCAGCGCCTCAATTGAATTTCCTTTAGAAAAAAAAAGACAAGCAAAAAAGAAAAAAAGAATAAGGAAGCGGCTTTGAGTTTATGCGTACTTCAAATTTTTTTTTATCACTACTGAATCTGTTAAAAATTTAATATGTAAACATGCATTTTTATTATGAAAAGCGTCAAAATGATTATCTACCAAAATTAAATTCAATTGCTGCAGACACTTGCGCTTTTCAACTGCATAATTTGCAATATACACCAACTGCCGCCTGCATCCTTCACAGCAGTTACACAAATGAATTTTTCTGAATTAAATTAACATACACAAAACAGCAAAAGTAGTTGCTGAATGGGGTAGTTGAAGACCCCTAACAACCAGCCAAGTTTAATGAAAATCCAAAGCGCAAAATACTTTTGTATTCTCCCACAAAAGTGCTTGTGTACAGCACACATATCTGTTTCAGTGAAAATGTTTGCTTGCTTGTGCTATGCATAGCAGCAGCAGCAGCTTTAGCTTCATCAAAATATTTTCGTTTATTTAAACGTGATCAAAAGCGTTGCCCGTGGCTATTTTGTCTACAATTTGCGCAGCGCTACATGAGGGAGTTCCATCCAAAAATTTCGTTTAATATGCGCTCTTACCTATTCGAGTAATTTGAGTTTAAATTATTTATACTCGAACGCATCAAATGCTTTTCCCTTTTCATATGTGTGCATTTAAATAAATTTTGGTATTAAAATAAAATTAATTTTTTAATTAGTTTTCCAAAAATAAACTCAATTTTCGATGTGAAAATCTGAAATAGAATTTGCCTTCATTTGAAATCAGTAACCTATCGTTGCTGACGGCTTCTTTTCAAGTCTTGGCAAATATAAATTAATATATAATATATTTGCAATATATATAATATGTATGTTATGCATATGTGTACATATATGTTATATACATTTAAAAAATTCTCTCGTGCTTTATAATTATATTTAAATATACATAATTATATACATAACATATGTGAACTTGAATGTTACCTATTAGTTACTAAATTCAATGAATACGTAATTTGGGAATGGTTTGGATAAATATAAAATAAAAGTTAATTAAAGCAAAATTATAAATAAAATATTATGAAAAAAGTATGTAAATCGGAGCTAAATAAAATAAATTAACAAAACAAACACTTCTATACGGATGTGTAAAAATTGCACAAAGCCAGACTCTGAGAAAACTTTCCAAGGTACCATGCTACATTAGGACGAATGACA